GATTTGAATCCATAATTCATGTGTCTTTTCATGCACAACCGTTAAACAAAGAAATGATACTCTAGAGAATGACATGCGGTCTGATAGGAAAACTACACTTGGCCGAAGCTGACAGGGTTTACATTCTTCAGTACATTCTACATTCTTCAGTACTGTAGTTCAGTACTTGTAGTCGTGACTATAAATATAAATTAAATATATTTGGGGAGAACGTTTGCATAGGAATATATCAAATGCAGGGAAACCATGAAAACGTGGTCATGCTTCCGTTTGCAGGAAGAAAATATGTGATGAGTATTTTTTCAAATGTATCCAAGATCATATGGCCTATATAGATCTGTACTTTATCGTCCCGCTGTCCAATCCAATCCAATTACAATCGATCGATCATTGGTATGAGTAAAGTGCTCAGCCGGTGTGAAAATATGAAATATAAAATTAATTATAGGAAAAGAAAATGAAGCCAATTTCTGTAATTCAATGCTAAAGAATTAAACTTAAGTTCTCACAAAAATCATCTTGCTAACGAAGTTGTAGGTATAATTTCTCTTTCTTTCTTTTTTATTCCACTTTGATGAAAACAAGATTTGCTCGGTCTAAATATAAAAAGCAAAAAAATACCTCACTCGATCTCGATTTTTCACTCGGCGACGACACTTTGATCTTAGTCAAATACTCATTTAAGTTCACTTCGGCTCCAAACATACAATCAAAAAAAAAAACAATAGCAATTTGTTTGAAGAAACCTGTCATGAGGACTCCGGAAACATCGGTGATAAAAGATCAGAGCGTACTCGATGATTTAAAAGCAATATTGCGATTCCTGAATATTTTACACAAGCAACACATCTTTAAACCCAGCTTCAGTATTGTGCTCCGGTACAACCAAATCATCTTTCGAGATCTAGCTTTGAATTTATTTTGTGCGTAAATAAAGCATGGATAAAATGAGTATAAAAATACTGTCGGATGTTGAATTTTTTTAGATGTTTTAATATATGCGTTGTGACAGGATTTTCTTCGGTGTATGTAATTATAGAAATATCAATCATTCATTCATCCGGTATCAAAATCTACACAACTTATTTTTTTAAGATTTTCAAGACGTCAGCTAGTCGTTCAAATAGGTGCCTGAAGCTCTCATAGAGTCCCTTGTWGATTTTTCATTCTCTAGTAATATCTCAAGGATTTTTTATTGAACTTTTTGAACTCTGCTGTAACTAATCCTTTATGACCAGAACACAGTGTTTGAAGGATTCAAGTTAAATACAAGATACAATTTTAATTGACTTATTCTTAAAATTGTGTCAAGTCGTTAAGTTTTGATTCAATGGCTTCAAAATGAGGATTTGATTTGAATTTTTGGTAATTACATTTTTGAATGAAAACTAGCACCTTAACGTCAGCTCACTTCGACGAATTTGTATAGATTATGATAAACGCGGAAGTCAAATGTACGATTTTTAATTGAGGCTCTTTTATAAACCCCTAGGCTCTTGACATTTAATATTGGCTATAAAAAGCTGCAGTCGGTACTTAAATATATGGATGTTATTTCTCTTTCTCGCGGCTTTGGTGACTTCGTGGTTGATGGTGAAGACATTTTTCTCCGCTAAATGGCTTCAAGATTCTTTGTTTTTTAGGACAAGCTAAAATATAATTCAAGTTTTGGTTTTTTCTATTCCGTGGTTATAGACGTTTTATTCAAATATTGGCTAGAAAATCCAGGATACAAGATTCGACCACAAGATCTGTAAAACACGCCATGTCTGAGCCTGGCGGTAAAAATTCAATCGAGCAACAGCCTTTAGAGCTCGATGATAATGAAGTGATTCTAAAATCCGCTAAGACAAAACGTTGCTCCTATTTTTACAACCAGAAAAAATACCTGATTGTGTTGTTAATAATACTGTTTACTTTGGCCGGGTTTTTGTTTGGTTATTTTATTCACAAACATAAAACTTCGAGTTTCTCCAAGCGTTCAACACCATTCAAGGACTACAGTGATATGGTTGATCCTAAGAAACTAGAGGAATACCTAAGGTAAAGTACAATTGTTTAACAATTGACACTTATATATATATATATGGTTTTTTTTCCCTCTCTCTTTCTCTCTCTCTCTCTCTCTTTTTCTCTTTTTTGTTTTGGGGTAGTTTTGGCGCAGCTAGACAGGTGCAAATCTCGTAGCTTAAGGCTGCTGGGATAAATGATAGAATTTGATTGACCACTTTCAGCCTACCAAGTTGCGGTAATATGATCTTCAATCTTTCTTTCTTTCTTTCCTTCCT